TATATACTCTATCCTGATGTGCCTCAGTATTTAGAACAAAATGAAGTCTGCATCAGAGAAGAATAAATGCATTATAAAATTAAAGAGTGCCGGCACCTGTAACACCTTACTGGCCAATTGTAGAAGACTACAAAGGGATTAGGCTGTCAGTAGAGACGTCAGTATTGAGACTACTGGAGTGGCAGGGAGAGATGTCCATCCACTAAGAGTTGTCTTGGCAAAAACGGGGCCTAATTCCAGGAGGACAGAAGGTTATGGGGTCAAGGCCAGTGACATCGTCCCACATCATTGGTGAAAGGGTGAGGTCTACCAGAGAGATACACAAGCAAAAGTGAGTGTGTCTGACAAGGCTAGTTCCTCTCCTGCACAAATACAGTCTCCTGTGGACAAAGCCCCGCCTCCTGCAGTGTGATGTCATAGTCCAAGTGGGCCAGCTTCCTCCTGGGAAAGTTGGTGACAAGTTCGAAGCGTTCATTCGGGTAACCTTTGGACTGGACGTGTCTTACCAGGGCCTTGATGGGAGAGAGTAACATACAAGAGGTGAGACATTTTAAGTAACAATCTGTGTTCATGTGATAATATTCACTGTTCACAGAGGAAATGCTCACATTATTTTTACTTAAAGCAATAGTTTGACAATTTGGGAAATGCACTTATTTGCTTTGTTGCCAAGAGTTAGAAGATAAGATAGATACAACTTTCTTCTTCTTGGGGTTGCCCCATTGGATCGTCTGTTCCTCTCCTCTGCATCTTTCTCTGTCACACCAACCACCCACATGTCCTCCCACATCACATCTATAAACCTCCTCTTCTCCGCTAGCTCCACCTCCAGTATCCTTTTCCTGATACACCCAGCATCTCTTCTCTGCACATGTCCAAACCATCTCAGTCCTGCCTCTCTCTTTCTCCCCAAACCATCTCACCTGAACTGTCCCTCTAATATACTAATTACAGAAAATCTTGGTATCTTGAACTCTGCCAACCTCCATCTCTGCCTCCTGTCTTTTCGTCAGCGCCATCGCCTCCAAAACACTCAACATCGTCTCACTACCACCCTGTAAACCTTCCATTTCACTCTTGCTGACACCCTTTTATTGCAAATCCACTCTACCCTTACTCTCTTATACCCCTCGTCCACACTCCCTGTTACATTTGACCCCCAGTATTTAAACTCCACTACCTACCTTTAGTCCTCAGATCCTCACAATGCCACTGTCCTCCTTCTCATTAGCACACATAAAATCTGTTTTACTCCGACTGACTTTCATTCCTTTTCCCTCCAGTACATACCTCCACCTCCCCAGGCTCTCCTCACCCTGCCCCCTACTCTCACTACAGATCACAATGTCCTCTGTGAACACCATAGTCAGTAGAGATTCCTGCCTGATGTCGTCTGTCAACCAGTCCATCACCACTGCAAATAAGAAGGGGCTCAGAGCAGATCCTTGATGTAATCCCACCTACACCTTAAACCCATCTGTCTCTCCTTCCACACACTTCACCATTGTCACACTACCCTCACACATATCCTGCACTGCTCTTAACATACAGTACTTCTCTGCTACTCCAGGCTTCCTCATACAATACCACACCTCCTCTCTTGGCACCCTGCCACATGCCTTCTTATCTCATATTCCTTAAAATCCGTACCAGTACGCTTCTTCTCCACTCTTCAGGCATCCTCTCACTTTTAAAGATTGTCAGAAACAGTTCAGTTAAAAACTCCACTGTCATGTTTCCTAAACATCTCCATGCTGGCACATGTATGTAATCTGGACCAAACACCCTTTCCACTCTTCATCCTGTTAATCCACTGCACTTCCTGATTCACTTTCAGGATAGATACTACTTTCGTCAAGGTCGATATGAAGCTGCAGCCAATTAGCTTACGTTAACATAACGGGTGAGTAGAGCTAACCTAGCTTTGTATAAAGTTAAAAAAGCAGCACCACTAAAGCCTAGTTCACATTACAAGATTTTCACCGCGATTTTGACGTCGCAGAGGATCTTGAGAGCCACCTTGGGTCAGAGGTGAGTCGGCAGATAGTCTGCCACGATGAGTCCTCGTGTGTGAACAAGCCTACGAGCAAGTCGTCCCCTCGTCTGTGACTGAGACTGGATATCTGGCATCCTAGAAAACTGGAGAAGGCTGACACGACTGACAAAGAGCATCAGCCAATGAGAGGCAGGATACGTCCCATGTCAGTACACAAGAAATGTGAGGAGGACAAGCCGCAGGGTTGCCACTTGCCAGGTCCACTTATTAGCCACGACCTTGGGCTTGTTTCTAAAGTGGAGTTGCTTATTTGGGCTTGCTCTCTAAACGTCACCTTTCTCTCTCTCTATACATATATATATATCCATCTAATAAGTAATTTAAACGCATGATAGTCGCTTCTTTTGGGCTTGTTTCCATAGCCCTGGTTGCTTGTTTCTCTCCCAAGATCTGGCAACACTGACAAGCCGGCAAGCAACAAAAACAATGGAGGCGTCCACAGGATCACGGGGAGCACGTTGTGTTTGGACCCAGGATAATAAAGAATATCTATGCCTTTACGATGTGTCGTCTCCAAGTTTGGTGACGTCACCGCGTTATCTGGAACTCCGTCGGCGAGGGCTCAGCGGAGAAATCTTGTGGTGTGCACACACAGGTCGTAACGCAGTTGGCAAGACTCCCGCTGACAGCAACACACGTCGCCAGGTATGAACACTGAAAAGATTACGATAGTCTCTGCAACGCAAAATCAGGGTGAAAATTGTGTAATGTGAGCTAGGCTTAAATCTCACTAATTAGGATGTTATGTCTTGTTTGTTTAACATGTCGCAAAATAGAAGTGCAAAATCACAATTTGCTGTTTTGTGAAGATCAAGGCTGCACTTATTTCTACTCTAGAGCCAGTAACTTCCTGGAGTCTGTCAAGTAGGGAAGGCCAAGAAATTTTTGACACAAAACCCCCTGTAAAATAGCGAATTGCTGATTTACACAGATTAAACAAACAATGTTGTATGATGTGTTAATTAGTGAGCTTTAGAGGTGCTGATAAGCATTTGTTTAACAGTGAACAGAACCAGGCTAGCTGTTTGCTTCCTGTCTTTATGCTATGCTATGCTAGGCTAAGCTAATCGCCTCTTGGCTCAAGCTCCATACTTTGTGTACAGAATTCAGAGTGGCATCAATCTTCTCATCTGACTCTTTGCAACAAAGTAAAGAAGCAAAAATGTTGAACTATTTCTTTAAAATAGTTATTGTTGTGTATTCTTACCAAAAGTTTTGCTTGAGAAGACAAGGAAATTTGCTCTCTCTGTCCATCTGGGTAACGGAGCATCAACCTGGCTTTAGGACCTATGTGAATAAAAACATTGTGGTCAATATCTTTTTAAGTCACTCATTCTTTGTTATCATAACTGTTTGAGGTTTAGAGCGACATGTTGACGTACCATTGTCATCAGGACAGTCTAAGTCACAGGTTTTGGTGGTGCTCGTCTTGGAAGGTCCGGCACTTTCGGCCGCTGGGGGACAGTGGTTACCTCCAGAGTCGGCGTCAGGCTGAGGATGACGAACAGCTGAGGGCTCCAGGTGGTTCTTTTTACTGTCCTCCTTCTTGTGACTGTGGTTGTTTTCTTTGTACGGAGATTTTCTATGGGAAGCAGTGGAACTATCAGGATGTAGACGCTGCTGGGCTGCAGTGGCCGGCGGGAGCGTGGTGTGTTTGCTGGTAGAGCTTTTCTCTTCGTGGGGTGCTGGCATTTCGCTGTCCGAGCCATCAACAGAAATGGGACCTTCGCTGTCAGAGAAAGGCTCTGCGTCTGATTCATCATCTGATCGGGGGGAATCGGGAGCTTCGGGGGCATTTGAGGACTCATAGTGGGTCTCCTGTAGGGAGGCTCGGATCGCTGCCTCCAGCTGACTGTCTTCACTGGCATCAATCAGACTCTCCTAGAACAGAAAACAGACAGTGCAGCTGTAGAAAATAAATCAAAGAGCTGGGTAAAATAACACAGAAATCTGGTAAAACTTCAGTCAACACTGATGGCAATGTGACAGTTTTTGGGGATGACTAACGGAGCTTTCACAGAATAAGATGTGCAAATTTTGAGAAACTATCATCAGTAATAAATCACTTATTACTGATGATAACTTCTCAAAATCTGCATGTTACCGAGCACACAGAAGGATTAACTTTTCATGCAGATAGTACAGTTTAAATATTATCTTTCACATGTAAAGCAGCATTAAGGGGAAGGAAGAGAACAATGAAGTTCTATCACAAGGTAATCACTCTGCAATTGATCAACCACTATGAGTTGTGAACTTCCAACAGACCCCCTGAGAGAGCGCTTATTAAAGAAGAAAAATTAGAAGAATTAGTGGTGACACATGAGATGAGAAACCCACAGAACGAGCTCGTTTGGCAGGGGGTGCGTGACAGGATGGCCCATCAAGCTGCCCGTGTTCTGCCAGGAAGCCAGTCGTCTGCTCCAGGAATGATGCCACGTCCAGCTGATTCCACTCCACCATCTTTTGACCTGGAATGAACAGGTTTTGAACAGCACAGGTCAATATCATATTCAATCATAGCATATTTAAGTAGCAAAGGCAGATATGTTCAGCTCTATTAATTTAGAGCTACCCTGCAGATGTAAACAGAGAGGGTGAGGCATCTGCTCACTTTACTGTATTGTACCATTTATACAGTTACACAGATGACAATGAGGTTAATTTATCTTCATTATCTATTTCGTTAAAAACCTACTGATGGCCTATATTGATCCCATCACTTATTCATACGAGGATCTCTTGCTCAGTCATGCACCATTATTCAAGGATGCTGCATAATGCTGCTTTAAAATTACTTCTTCTAATGGTGTTGTGTTGTCTTTCAGCCCAGACACACCAAACTGATATCAAAAAACTAGTGGTGACGAAGGCCGACTGTTGTGTCCCCTCACATCACCTGTGTCTCTGCCAAAAAGTGGCACTTGAAAACACCGCAAAGACTACGGCCATCCAGCATGTGCATTCTGTGCCTGCATGAGAGGAAGTAATTCTCCATATCAGCAGGCAGCAGAAGTCTGTATTCCTAATTCATCGGATTCAAGACGCTTGTTGGCCAGTTAGAACATTAACAATACACCCCTATGTTGTAAGAACAAAGGATATTGACTGTGCACAAGCAAAGAAATAATACAAACCATTACGAACCATTTCTGCTGAAGTGCTCAATGGCTAAAAAAAATCTTACCTAATATAACAAGTCTGATTCAATTTCCCACCCTCTTGACTTTTAATTGTTTGTTTGCTTTCCTCATTTATTTTTTGCTCTCACCAATGGGCTCCAAAAAAAGCTGACAAGGGCCGACTAGTTCCAACAGCAAGGGACACACCACAGAAACTAGGGCGACAGACGCTCACAAATGGGCAGATAACTGATCAGTAGTCAACTGTCGGCTTGGTGTGTCAAGACCATAAATGGTATGCATTCATGTATGCTTTCCTCCACCCACAAACAACAGGCACATGGTGTCACTAAGGATCAAGCATCAAACAGTGGATATTGCGGCAACTAACTTGTCATAGACACTCACCTGTGCGGGGATCGAGGATGGAAATATAGGGAAACTTGTTCAGCTTATAGAACTGGATGTATCTTTGTCCCTCTTCACTATCATGATATACCTGTAATAAAGGAAATACACAGTATAACACAGACATGAATCTCACACCAGATATACTTCGACTGAGTGACACGACATGTATGAAAATATTAGGATGACAGGAGTTACACCTCGAAGCAAAGTGGGATTTCATGTGCTGATTGCAAGGTTTTTTCTACAGTACAAGAAGAAGTGGGCACTACAACACCACTGCACTTGAAAATGTTTTGCTCTGAACCATTATCAGTACTTTACTGTCTCTGTTGCCGTGCTCTTGACGGGTTTTCCTTTTGCATTACACACTAAATAAATTTCTCACTGGAATAATCAATTTCGACTCAACCTTCCCAACAAAGGAGTTTAGCTGCTGGACCCTTGCAAATACCTCATCAAAGTATTGAGGAACATGAGAGCATCACAGACCACGGATGAGTCTGAGATTTCAAATTACATACCTGCCAGAATATGAAGTGTTCTCTGATGATGGTCTTCACTGCATCATTGCTCCAAACATCCCTGTTCAAACACTGGCAGGCAAAGTCTTGTACATTCTGAATGTTGATCATCAGCCACTTGTTCTCCAGTTGTCCACAGTCCTTTGCCTGCAAGCACATAGATGAATTTAATCAATTACTTAGCAATGAATATATCAAATACATACATTTTGATGAAAACCAAAAGGGTGTATGTGGTTAAAGCTATACTATGCAGCAATTTCCCACAGAACAATGTATAGACTCATACAGAAGTTAATGCTTTTCAAACATTACTAATGAGTGTGGGGCCGTGCATTTATCTATAAAGACTCACTCTGCCTGTATTTTCTTATCTTCTTAATTTGTGTTTGCCATGTTCATGGGCATGTGCTGTCACAGCGCTCAGGTGAGGCTGGAGCTTTATAAATAGGTAGCAACCAGCTGTCAGACTGTATGAAGAAGACACCCAGGAGACACAGCGCAGAAAAAATGAAAACATACCAAGGCAAAATGCTAAATGAGAGTGAATCTGGGGTTGCCTTTTACCTACTTTAAAAACAGTAAACAATAATCCTGCATAATATACCTTTAAGTTAAAGTCTGATGGAAGACAAATAACTACATTAACAAAGTGACCACACTACTTCATTGGCAGCTTACATTAAAAACAAAAAGGAGTGAAGTATGTGTTTCGCGTGTTGCTTCGTCAGATTTGCTCTATTTTTTATATGTAAGCTGTCAATAAATGAGTGTCAATCCGGCTATCCTGGTGTGCGCTGAAACTTTGATTTCCTTTTGGTTCACACTGATTTACCCTGCACCAGCTGGCACCCAGGAGAGAGGCACAGCTGTGCACTGGGTATTTACAGTTCTTTTCACTTGGTAATCACTTGTCTCTTTATGGATCATAACCATCTACATCAATGGTACACCAGCACATGCAGGTTTCTATTTTAAACACTACATCAATTAATTTTGTGAGAACTGTGAGTGCACATTCAACCAGAGAGGGAAAATGCATGTACCAAAAATGACAACCGGCCCTTCCATGTAAGTCACACCTGGTTTCCCACCTGTGATTTACACAGTCACCATCTAAATTTCACTGAAAGTTCACACAGATTGAATAAAGACGTGGGGTTTAAAGTGTCCTGTGATTGACTCCTCACCGTCTCAAAGCTGCCTTTGTGCATGAGCTCAATGGGGGGACGGAAAAGGTCTGCCAGGGTGCTCAGTTTCTTATCCACCGTGCCACCGTTACGCAGCTCCTGTTCCTGGCGAACTAGGAAAAGGAAAACATTTATCGTCATTACATTACTCGCCACCAACCACGTTCTTTAAGCTTAGAAAATTGAATTTACTCACTCGTCTCTGTTTGGAAGTCTCGGAAACCATCAAATATAGATCGAGCAGGTCTTCTTCGCTTTGGCACTGCATGTGTAACAGATTCACCAAATGTCACATTCAGCAGATGACTGAAAAAGTGCAGCCTGTAATAACACTTTAGTTTGTACGAAGTCAAATGAGAAGAGTACATTACCTCCAAACAGTGGTTCAGGTTCCACCAATATGTCCTGCTTCTGGGGAATGGGTGCTCGTACTTCACTGAGACACAAGGAAATATAAACAGTTTTATTCCAAGAAGTAATCTAGACCAAATCTGGCATCACTCAAGACGTAAAGATACACTCTCTCTCTTTGTTATATCATCAAGCAGCAACACAAATCACAGCAGAGGTCTGAATCCCTGAACTCTCCTCCCAGCTCACTGTTAACAACACCTCTAAAGTCAGAAAGAAATTACAGAGCACTGTAAAAAATCAGAGTATCTTTAAGATACTAAAAGACTTTGCTTTACTTTTATCCGACACAAGTTTAGAAGAAAAATATCAGCTTACTCTGAAGGGGGAGCTCTGCTGCTTGAAGCTGCTGAACTGGAGCTGGTGCTGGGCTCCTCTGCGATACCTCCTCCATCCAGAAACATAGTCACTGCCATCTCCAGGTTGTTGTTGCATGCTTCCAACATATGTTTTCCTACACTCTCTGTGGCTCCTAAAATAGTGTTGGACAATGGCATACTGGTGTTGAAAATCATTATGGATAAAACTTTAATGTACAGCTACATTTGTGTAAAAAACCACAGTATCGATGTTAGTTGTGAAACAGGAAATCATCAGTAAAATATCTGTGTTATGCTGAAATAGTATGTTTAAGGAACTATGTTGATTTTTGCTTGTTGTGACACACTTTACTTATTAAGTCATCCTATTATTTTTTTTGTTTGATTACTTGCCTTTAAGTGGGACCATCACTTCATTTCATTTAATGTGTTGTGACTAGAGCCTGAACAATGCTGGATTCTGATTATAATATCATTATTTGAGTTTTCAAAAAAAAAAAATCTGATCATCTATAGGCTCATATTTGTTTTTAACATAAATTAAAATATTTTATACAGATCCTGCAATGTGGTTATTGGAGAATCGTGACTGTGATATGTACTATTCATACACTTAACATCTGAAAAATGAACTTGTCAGTGCTCTCACAGAGAAACAGGATTTAAAAAGGGACAGCGTTTCTACATTACCACACAGAATATCATTGTCATTTCTCTGCTGCAATGTTTTGCTTGTTGTCTGTGCACATCTACGAGTATGTATCTGTAAATCTGAAAACATTACAACATTTAAATGTTTCAAACAGTAAATTTGGTGGCATACTACAAACAAAACATCAGTAACATGGTAAAATTAGATGTTTGCAGCTTTTCTGCAGTGTACCAAATTGATCAATTTATATTACCATACTGATTTAAGCATGTTTACTACACATCATGTATACATAACACTGCTTTTTTGTTTGTTTGATTGACTGCTTGCCTTTAAGAGGACAAATGGTATTCATTAATTTGACTTTTTTATTACAATGCATACATGCACACAATTAAAACAGGGTTGTCAATGCCAATGTGCTCATCCTGTTGTATAAATATTGTTTTGGGTAAAATGAAATCCTCGTTTAGTCTGCATGCAGAACTGCTGGGTCCTATGAAATGCAACCAGAGTTTAACTTCATGAAGGCGGAGCTGCTGTTCACTCTGATGGGTTACTAACAAGTCTTTGCAAGTCGACTGCAACACTGTACTGAAATCAGTGAAAGCCAACTGCTTGAAAGTTAACGTATGAAAAAAGAGGCATCCGGTTTAAACAAAGGCTATGGTATGCTTTGGGAAGTAGTAGGTAGTAATGTAGCTCGAGTACGCGACGTGCCTTCTACACCACAAATAGGCTGCAAATACAGCACAAATGTTCGTAAATGTAATAAAATCATGAATTAAACTATGAAAAATACTCTGCACGTGAGAAAACACGAGATCCGACGGTTGACTTTAATCTTTTTTTAGGTGAACAGAAGCGTTTAGCTGCACTGATCTTTCCGTGTGTACTGCGCATGTCTGTTTCACTTTCCAAGTCCAACAGCAGCCCTGAGTCTCCTCTCTTTTCCGTTAAATAACTTAAAACTGAAACACTGTCCATCGTGTCAAAGCACACATAAACTATTGAGGACCTGTGAAGTAGTCGGAGACAGACACCGAGCTCACCCGAGTGTGGCTAGCGTCAGGGTGAAGACTACACCACCACAACATGCAGCCTGGCTGGTGATGAAGAAGGCAAATGTTGCACAGCCGACGTCCATTCCACATTATCAAACAACATGCGATAGAAAAAGCAGCAGAGAATCAGCTCTGTGCTAGCGAGATAGTGTCTGTAACGAGCACCACAAGCAAAATGTGATGTTTTGAAGTGTCTGTTGCAGATAATATCCACAGTGGGAGGTTTAATGGTCCTATTTCTGAGTCTTTCACTTGAGTTAAGCAGATAACTGGCTGTGCTTTTTCCCTCTGCAAAGCATTGACAGCGTAGGGGCCAGGGGAAGACTTAACGTCCGTTTTCTTGTCTGCGCACTAATTCCGAGGTTTGCTGGACAAGGGAGCTCTTCCTGTTGGATAACCAAAACCTACTTAATAGACCAGACGTGAAATAAAAGGTTATTTTTACCTGTTATTGCTGTGAATTGTTGTATTAACCCATTCACCCCCGGAGCTGAGGTGTCTCCGAGCGCCGCCATCTTACCGCCACAAACAACAACATAAATGCAGCGCATGCGCTACGCCGTCCTTTTCCCCCTGCCTGGCGCGGCGCGAGCCCATACGTCAGGATTGTGCTGCATTGTGGGTCATGTAGTTGAGTAAACCCTACTTTCTTGTAATAGTAATATTTATAAATAATTTCGAAAAATATAGGTATTTCATAGTTTTTAATGGAGGTTCCCGTCAGTTTTAAAAGGAGCTCTACACAATATAGAGAGCATAATGTGATTCAGAGGTTGTCTGCACACGGCTCTCAACATGGAGGTGGCTGAGCTGGTAGCTAGTAGCTAGTAGTAGTCTAGTAGTAGTTTATCCCAGTTGCCACTTGCAGTGTTGTAGGGAAAATAATCCCCTGCTGGCCCCAAAATTATTTTTTGTCATAGACATCTTGTAAAAGACACATCTCTAAAACTGTTGACATGACACTTCAAACTGCAAACAAGGTCAATTATGAATCTTTATAGCCTGAATCTTTGAGCCATAGTGGGTTTTATATTTGAAAAACTTTCGTAAGTTGAGAAAAGCGATTCAAAAACCGTGATGATGGCATCACACTGTAAAGTTCTTTTGTTTCAAATAGACGGGCCCTTCCTCTTCCTCTTCTTTTTGCATTCTTGATATGGGTTAAATAACGTTGGTTGAGCACATCGATCAAAGGTCCATAGGATGTGAGTTTCCCCCTACTTATGGACAGACTTTGGGACAATCTCAGTATCCAAGGTGTTACTGACACCATGAGACCTCTCAACTCCGCATTGTCCAACCATGCATATATCATACTCATCATGGCGTCCATGTCCAGAGCAGTGATGACATTGTACTGCTTAAAGCTATCTTCACCACCTTCAATTTGATCTTGGGCCTTGAAGAAGTCATCTTGACGTACCACACAACAGTTGGGCAGGTTCTTGATCGGTCGGTTGGTGAGGGTGGTTTTCCCTGCGTTGGTTACTCCACTGTTGCTGATGATGCACTTCATCATTTCAGATTGGTCAGAGCCATAGAAAAAAAGTAGCTGTTTTTGAATCACTACTGTTTTACTCCTTAGTTGTGTAAAATTAGAATTAAATGTTGCATTGAAGGATACTGAAACAAAGAAAGGTTAACTATTCAGTTTCAAAGTTGGACTACATCAATCATGACAAATATTCAAATAAATACAGCACAGACTTTCTCTTTAAGTTGTGTCATTTTATTATTTGCATAATACATTCAGTTTGGAAACAGCATTGACCAAGTCCAGAACCTGAAGACTCAATTCTAACAACAATCAGCTACAAGCAATTTGAATAATTGCTCATTCAGTCAAGTTATCTTAATCACGGTATCTGACACATATCTGCTGTGCTGCCTGGCATTAACAAAACAAAAACTTTACAAAGGGAAGGTGATGATGGCACTGACTTTCTACATCATGAGATGTCCAAACTGTATTTACAAATACACAAAGTGACACTTCCGATCCCACTGGCCAATTGTAAAGTAATAATAGTTAAAGCTGAATATAAAATAAGATTACATTCATATCAGTAATGTATAATCTCCTTCAGTTTTGATAGTCTGATGATGGGCTCATGAATGTTCTTCAGTTGGTATGGTTAAAATCACTAACCCTGAACATTTGGATATATGATTATAACTTCAATTCCTTTGAAAGACAGCAAACTGTCAGCTAAAGACACCTAAGATAGAAACCAGCATAGAATGCTGTTATTTTCTTGCCTATAAAAGGTAGATACAGTATTAACTCAGGCCACTGTAACAGATTGAAGGTGCACTTTAGACCCAGATAAAAGGAATTAGATGATTAAATCTTATGTTGCACAGAAAGCACTCAGTTTAGTGTTTTCTATGTAAACCCAGCAATGCATTGAAAGCTGATGCTCCTGTGCCGTGTCCAAATGTGACCTTTTAGTCCTGAGGTGGAAGGAAATTATTCTCATATAAAAGATGCATCACTTTTTAATTGTAACCCGGGAGGAAATCAAGTGCACTCAAGCATTATATATACAGAGGACCATCAGAATAGGTCACTGAGTTTTTGTTCGAGGTGTTATCTTAGTGCTCGATCTTAGAAATCCTATGGCAAACATAAATACAGATGAATATCAATTTTTAAGCATTACTGAAGGCCAAATGAGAATATTACAGTGTCATTGCAGTGTCTTTACACATCTGAAAAATTTAAACCCCAAAACATGTTTAAAAAATTGTTAACAGCATTAAGTAATTTATCTTACATTAATTAACAACACTTACGTGATACCAGTCCTGCCATCAAAAACAATCTACATTTAACTCTTATCAGTTTAAATAATACATATGAACAATTTTACCAAAGTCAAAAGAAAAACAAAGCTGTAATCAGTGATATATTCAAGGTAAACAAAAAAAAAATTGGGGGTGATGTACGACTGATTACAAAACCATCTTCATGGACACGATACATTTGTTTTACATTCTCACTGCTTTTTTTTGTTTGTGTTTTTACTGCAGATGTTATTTTTAATAATCAGAAAATAAGCTGTAGAATATTTGGACAAGGCTGCTGGACATTTGAGATTTGCCCTTCATCAGTAATGGTACCAGTTTATTAAAATGGTTCATCAGTTTCTGATGTTTTATTAATTAAAAAGACAGATGTAGGCAGGTTCGCTGAGCAGATTTCAATCTGCATGGTGTCACTGTTCCAACATTGTTCCAACTGCCCAAATTTCCAAAGCCCTTTTGTCAAAAAATATTTGATCCCAAGAACAATGGCCATTGCTCCAAAGTCCAGTTTCTCCAAAAATTCACACTCCTTGCAGTTAGTTTCAGTTTCCATGGACATTTGAGTGATCAATCCCGGGTATTTTAAACACCCCTTTGTGGCATTTCCCAGCAGTGTTTGAGCCACAGAACACATATGTTTCGCCAACCCGTCTCTGCTTTTCCAGCCACTTTTGTACCACCCAATGAGCTGTTTTAAGCCAAAACACAATCTTTTCCTAACCAATACCAATTGATTTTATTGCCTTAACATAACTACACATTCACTACGGAGATATTAAAGGTCCCCATTAATCTGCTACAAGATAATGTTCAAATGGAAATAATCAGTGGTTTACAGAACACTGTTTCTGGTGATTGGGTTGTCTAACTGCAGGGAGTGTGTATTTTTGGAGAAAACAGACTTTGGAGCAATAGATGTTTGTTTTTGAGGTAACAGGCTGTCAAAGAAATGGGCTTTTGGTCCATTGGGATATTTTTCATGCTAACGGGGCTTTAGAATTTGGGACTGTCTCAACAATGGGTGGTCCCCTCATGGAGCGCATACTAGGCTTTACTGTGCTGAAACCAAATGAGAAGATGTTCTTAAGATTAAAATATGTAAATAATATCTTATTATGGACTGTCCCTTTCTTGTTTTAATTCAATTGTTCTTTTACCCACTGTGTACCACGTGAGAACAGTCTCATCCTGTCCAACCAAAACGAATAACAAAATGCCTCCAATAGTAAGAATGCCACCCTTTCCACTCGTTACAGCAGTGCAACTTCAACATCATGAAAAATAAGACTGATATCTTATTTTCCTGATGGGCACTAGATGATTCAGGAAAGATGTCTCCACACTGTATCCCACATGCCAAACAATAAAAGAAAAACGAAGGCAGAAGAAAAATGAGGAAATGGGCGCAGGGTACTTTTTGAAATTCTTGTCACAGTTCCTATCCAGCTTAATAGATACATAAGCTTCCACACAATAGCATAGGCCAAGATGTGAATGTGTGCATACATGCATACATGTATGTTGAGTGATGGGTGAGAGTGGATGTTGGAATGTATATCCGTGTCCAGAGTGACTATATGATTCAGTGAGGCCAGTGTGTTTCAAAATGAAGTTTGTTCTGTGAGTAGGGCCGGCAGGGTGGTGAGGGAGAACACTGTTAAGTTGGCAGGTGAATTTTTAGACTGCAGTTTAGAAGCGGATGAAGGTAGCGTCGATCTGACGTACACTGGGCAGCGCCAGCATGATCTTTCGCCGGTACTGTGGATCTTTCTGTAGAGGGTTTCTTTCAAGGTAGACCGTCTCCAGAGACTTGGCATTCTTCAATTCATCGAGATCTGACCAGTTATCGATCTGGTTATCATTCATCTGGGAAGGGAAAGACAAGAGAGCCAGTAAGAAAGGAGACATAGTTTTGTCTGGCAAAGACAGCTCAAACCCAAACTTTAAGCACCCTTGCAACATACAGTGTGGAGGATGTGGAGACAAAAGAAAAAAGAATTAATAAGACTTTATAAATTACTTAAAGGTTTTTAACACACTTAAATTCACTAAAATGTAGGTGTAGGCAGAGATATGCGTTTTAATGTATGTGTATTATTTCAGTACCACGTGTTTCATATGATTCAGTCTCCATTTATTATTACACATTCAATGGTAAGGAAATTCATTCATCAGCTTAACAGTGTAGCTGAAGATTACAAAAAGGCAGAAAACTGGCAGATCAATTTGCCGAAACAAGGAAACAGAGAGCTGTATAAAGAGCAACATAATCAGTAAACCGGAAACTGATGAATGAAAATGAAAACTTAGATTTGATTTCCCTCTAAGGACTTAATAACTACATCACTTTGAATCCAGCTTTTATAATTTACTTTAGAAACCTGTGCTGTCAAACAGATGTAGTTCTCCAACTCATCATGTTACTTAAAAAAAAATCAAATTTATCAATTAATTTATTGTTTAGCTATCTATCAATTCATTTTTTCAAATTAGATGTACTTGTTGATCTACCTAAAAGTATCTTATTCATCACTTTGAAGTAACCAATTAAATATTGATTAACTGGTTGCATTTGACATGTCATAGCAGGACAAGCACAGGAATAATTAATAATTTAATGATTGCTGCCAGTTCCAGGGATCTGCTATTACACACTGGCTCTTTGGCATGGCTAACTTAGACTTTATTGGAACAGAGAAATTGTTCAAGTTACTATCTTTCGTTCGGTTACATTAATAGTTTTATCTATTTTATTTTCCGCATATGTCAAGTCAAAATGTCTGCTGTGGTAAGGTGTATTAGAAAGTCTCTAGGGGCTCCATAACATTACATTATAAAAATATAATCAAAAAGGCCATCAAATTACATTCTAGTTTAACTCTATAAACCATCCGTACCCAGAACTCTTGCAGATCTGTCAGATGGTTGATGTTTTCAATCTTCTTTACTCGATTGGCTGCGATGTCCAGGGTTGTAAGCTTTTTCTGTGAGGGAAAACAAACAAGAGTTTGAATGCACAGGTTTGCACCAATAGCAAAATACACAATGGACAGTTTGGCCTTTCAGTCCTTTCAGAAATAGGCTGTGGAATTTCTGTAACTCACATTGTTTTCCAAGCCCTCAATGACCTCAATGCCATTGTGGCTCAGATAGAGCTCTCTCAGGTTGACAAGATTCTGTAGACCCTCGATTTTAGTGATCCGGTTACTCTGCAAAGTAAAAGCACACAAAATTATCCACCAAAGTTTCCATTTACACACTTAATTTTATTCTTATATCCACTCATGCAGCACGTTGAAGAGAATCTCCAAATTACCTGAATGCTTAAAACAGTCAGGTTGTGTAAACCCTCAAGATTCTGAAGCTTAGTTATTTTATTGGTGCCAAGAAACAAACTTTGCAAAGATGTAAGTGTGTCCAGGTTCTCTATGACCTGTGAACAAAACAAAGCAAAAGAGACACAAATTAACACAACATAATGATTTTATAAGTGTGTCTCTAATGTCCTGTAATATTTAATTTTAACACCATCATTTTAAAAAAGCATGCTTTCATATGTGTAGTATTGTCTCTTTATGTTGTACCCTGATGCGATTGGAACCCAGCTCCAACATGTCAAGGTTCGTGAGGTGATCCAGGTTGGCAATGCTGCTAATTTTGTTGTGAAGCAGAAAAAGTTTCTTTAGCCGAGGCATCTGCTCCAAACCCTCCACCTTCCTCAGAAGATTGAAGGACACATCGAGCTGCCTGTGGATCAGTCAAACAAATATGATCATGAAAATTCATTGTATCTGAGATGTGAGTTCTTTGTTCTGTGTCCGCCACATGAAAAATACAACTCGGTGAATTCTTTCTTTCTTTATATTTTTATTTAGGATATTCTTTTTGACTTTTTTTTGGCCTTAATTTGATAGAGCTGATAATATGAAAGGAGGCAGAAAGAGGGGAGGACATGCAGGAAAAGGCTACAGGTCAGAGTTGATTTCGGGGTGCTACTAAAGAATAAGCCAACATGGGGCACATGCTCCACAAGGTGAGCGACTAGGGTACTCTAGAAACAAAGCCTTCTGTTTTGTTCAGACTTACTCCATCTCTGTGAGATTGTGCAGGTTCTCCAGTTTGCGGATCTGATTGTCATAAAGATCTAGTTCCCGCAGTGAATTCAAACTCTCCAGGTTTTCTATCTTCTTGATGAGATTCTGTCTTAAGGAGAGTGTCTGTATGAAGAGACAGATGATAAAAAAAAGCTATGAACAGAACATCAAAACGCTGTACTTGATAATAAACCCAAAACAATTCTTTTTGTCTTTTTATTTTACATGTGACTAACACAGAAAAAACAACATGCATTTGCAAACAAAATTCTGTCTGGTTTTTATACTAAGAGAAACAAAGGAGTAACTCCAGATTCTGCATCCCACGCCGCTACCATGACTTCATAACTCACTGACAGTGGCACTAAACACTGAGGTTACTTACTTTAGCTTTCTGAAGCACCTCCAGGCCTTCAATCTTTCCAATACGACAATGAACAAGATCAACATCCTAGAGAGAAAACAGAAAGCTTAGGATGATATCCTGTCTATCCGTTATACTAGCAGTTAAAACATAACATTTTAACATAAAACACTGCACTGCAAATAAAGAATGTTGCCTCCACTCCCAAGTTCTACGAGGAAAATGTACCACAAAAGTTAAAGCAGCTGTATATGAGCGCTGTTCGGGGAAGTTTACTTAAATGGCTTTCTGACAGAAAGGGATTCCTGGCCATTACTCCACTATATCTTGACATACCAAAGTGGTTTGCTGCTATAATTATGCTATGAAAGTCGTAAAAAGCTTAATTTGACCAAAAACAGCATTAATACATGAACTTTGTGACAGGAGCCACAGCCACACAGCAGCTGTGTCATTAGACCATCGCCTAACCTCTTCCTCTGGGTCCAAGGTTATGGTGTCCATGTCCACAGGAGACTCTTCTTTACCTTTAACGGAAGCAAGAATAAATTGGATAAGCCAATGTGGCCATTGCATTAAGGCTGGGTACATTCATAAACTTGATACAGACACAAAGGGCTGTTTTAATGCAGCTGAGAAGACTCATAGTTATGCAATGCTCTCATGTAGATTGGCAGATTGCTCCGTGTCACACCCTGGACTACTCATGATGACACTGCATTACAACTGACAGTCTGACTAGTGTCCGGTATGTGGCTGTGCTGGAGATGTCATGATTTACTTGTGGTAGCGGGCTGATTGGGGTCCACGTCGCCATTGATACTCCTCCTCCTGGTCTCATCATCACCAGACTCTTCAGACTCACCCCTTCGGTCCACTGCAGTCAGCAGACAAAGAGGGGCTTAATTTCACCATATAGACACAGAGCTCAGAGCTGTTATCTGATTATGTATCAGTGACACGTTTAGCTGATGCACATGTAATATGATGCAAAGACCAGGCCCAGCTCCACCTCCACCCACTGAAGGAGTCAGGGACTGTTATGTGGAGCATCCAGCCTCTGTCTGACTGTCACAAACCATGACTAGTTACTAGATCATGTTATTGTATTTTACCAAAAACAGGATTACACCTACAACTAAATTACATCGGTTAGTATGATCTGCTGTTGATGTAGCAGGTCGTATTTAAAAGATTACCAGATTAGGGACAACTAGCAAATTGAGGTTAGCTTCCTCAGACTAACTCACGGGGTATACAGTGCTAGCCATGTTAGCTGCCTGGGTAGCTGATTTGACCACAGCAGGCAGGCTAGCGGGCTAAAATTGGAAACGTGAGACATGGGTAGACAAGCTATGCTAACATAACATCCACTTTCAGTCCATTAGTTTAGACAACACGCCTATATAAACTGAAATTAACGTTACATGTTGACTAGCAAGACAGTGTGGGCTGACGTTAGCTGAGTAACGCCAGCTAACGAGGATTGTTGTTAGCCTGCTAGCTAGCTAGCAAGCAAGCCAAAGATCAAGGTGTGGTTAGTAACAGAGAAAATAGATCACTGGATGTTGTCGTGTAAAAACAAATACATTTGTCTAGAAGAATGTCGGTTCATCTAGCTAACACAACCATGACACGGATGCGTCTTTATACATTTACTCACCTTCCATCTCTTGAAGCTCTCCAACAGACCGGGAAGCCATGTTTCCTGTAAACAGTCCTGACAACCGCTCAGCCAATCCGGTGGAGGCTCATACTGACGTCAGACACAAGATGGCGCTGGTGTCACATGCTAAAAACTGCTGGAAATAAATGTCCACACTGTACTGTGTGTTTGGTGGAAGATGATCTAGATCCTTTACTTAAGTGAAAGTAAGTAATACAGTTTTGTGTGTAAATGTATGTTGCATTGTACTGCTTAACTCATTATATCACTATACCTAGTATTGATTCATACAGAATGAATGACTGAATGAATAGGCCTACACTGCTGGGTAATCTACAGCAATTCATCATTTTTATAGGTTCATCATATGTCTGTATGTGAATATTTTACAAACATATCATATATGTATAAGTGGTGAGGCTCCACGATACGATACTATCACAATACTTGGTCACAGTACAATTTTATTGCGATTTTAGAAGTGTTGCGAAATGCTGAGTATTGTTATCAAATATATTGCAGTACATTGGGATTTAAAGTTCTCAGTCTGTTCATCTCACTTCAGTCATTTAATTTACAGCAAAATGTATCTAGTCTAGACTAAAAAAGCAATTGATTACATTATTCTAGTACAGTGGTTCCCAACTCATGGGTTGCAGTCCAAAAGTGGGTCGTGGGTCCACACTGAATGGACTGCAAGTGACACACAAACATGTCAAGTTTGTAAAAAATACACTTTATTTTGAAGTACAGTGAATTTCTGGCACAGAGTTTATATTTTGAAGTGCTGTTTCTCGCTATTGAGTGAGTGACTAATGGACAGCTACTTGACAGAGACAGCAAAGTAGCTCAGCAACATGGCTAAATGCAAGTATGACACTGAATGTATTAAACTGTGTGGACCTTTTGCTAATGACTAAGAAAAGATCTCCATCCTGTGGCTGGACCAGTTGGGAACCACTGTTTTAGGAGGTTTAATTTGCACTTGTAATATTGATAATTTATATAATAAAAAATCAATACATAGCACTGTGTGACAATATTGCCACACAAAGATATTGCAATATTTTGTGATGTGATGTGATTTGATGTGTAGTGTAGCTTTCCTGTGAGAACCACGTATCTCTAAAAAGTCAGCTTTTTATGAGCTCAGAAAAACATTGATGTGATGATGCATTTTCTAACTGATCCAAGAGGCTTTTTAAATAGTTAAGCTATCGTAAGAACAAGTAAAAATAACAAATTCAACAAATAAACCAACATTAAATACTTTGGTGTGTCAGAAACCTTAAGTTTGTGTTGTATCGTACTTGAGTCAATGTACTTAGTTACATTCCACCACTGGCTATAACAATACCATAAAACTCAAGTGCTGTACTTAAACAGAAATTTGAGGCAGGCCTACATTATAGTGTTGCTATTTTGTACTTATTCTTGACTACATTTCAGAGGAAAATGTACGCGACTTTTGGCTCTATTATATTTATCTGACAGCTATGATTACTAGTTACATAACTGTAGGCTAGCATTTACATACACAATATGAGATCAATAAATATAATATGCTGCATGGTTACTGGTTTAAGGCTCAACTTAGATCAGCAACAACATTACAATGCTGTTTACGTGTTAATGCAGCCAGTAATAAAGTAGCCTATACACTGATAGAACTGTGCAAAGACCCATTTCTGCATGATTTGCACTTTTACTTTTGTTTATTTCATGTCATGGTCTGCTCCTCTGTGCCCCCCAGCCCCTGTCTCCAGCCCCTGCTTATTCTCCCTGACCATATTTGTCCCTATTAGTCCCAAGTCCTGCCATTTTCCATCCAGCCACCAGATGTCCCTGGAGTTTCTTCCCTGCCCCGTACCCTCACCTGACTTCCCTTAACAATCACCTGGGCTGCCCCTCCTCACTCACACACCTGTTCCCAGTTACCTCATCACATAGGTCAGTGTAAACAGCCTCTAAACCTGCCATCGTCACCAGCTTGTTGCTGGGTCATTTGTTCTCTTGTGGTTTCCCCGCCGATTATTTCTGGTTGCCTTCTCAACTGTAAGCCTGTTTTTCCTGGATTAAAGTAGCTTTTCTGAACCTGCCTGCTGTGCGTCTGCATTTGGGTCCTCCCTGCTTGAGCTGCTTTACTGAGCTGTAACCTTTCATTAAGACTTGTCTATTTTTCTTCAGTAAAATTTTCAATGCAGGTCTTTTACTTGCAAAGAGAACTTCTCCCATGATGAATACATAGACCAAGACCAAGAAGAAGAAAAGAAGAAAACTGACAACTGAACATGCTTCATGCCAGCAGTTTTTTAGGTTAAGTCAGCATTTTTCCCTCTTTGTTGTATTTTAATTGGCACAGAAACCTTTTCTGTTTTCAACACAAACACTCTAAATGGGTCCCTGTTCAATTCCTGATGCAGGTATAAGCAGTATCACAGCTGACTGATTGTAAGAACTACATAAGGAATATACAATAGATCTAAAAGGAAAAACAAACACATGAAACACACTATTTAAAGTGAACAGGATCACAAGCTTGGGCAAGCTACCAAATTTTGGTATAAGTAATTTATCCATCTCTGCAAAGCCAGCCATATTGGATTACATAAAGCATTAAACAGTCTGACTCCTGAACTCCCCTCTCTCTGTAAAGTCCCCGGTGCTCTCACAGCAGACTGTTTATATAATCTCCTCCCATCTGTCTTGCATACCTTCCATTTTAAGAGTCCGCCTGCAAAAGTTTGAGGCACTTAGTTTAAAGGTCTGTGTTGACAACAGACGGATCCAAATAGTTATCCCTTATATATGATAACATACAAGCACATAACAAAATAACACTCACACACAGATAGTAGCTCAACATATCTAATCATTAGTATGCTTCCTACGTCATTTGTTTCTGATAACATAAACTTTTCATATGATAAAATAGGAACATAGAATTCATGCTTGACCTGATATTAAACTGGGAGATTATCAAAATGTACCTTGTTATCAGACCAACAAAAACAACAGGCTGCATCAGCCAGGACAAGTTAAGTTAAGACTAAAATGACTGATGAGAAGCTATGCTTAACTAGGAACCTGGCTAAATATTATTGGAAGCTGCATGTCACAGAATCACTGGCAAGACAGAGCAGTTGAATTTACTTATTAACTTTTTGAAAATAATAACACAGAAAATCAGATTTTTTATCTAGATGTTATACTGTCCTGAATGTAGTCAGATCAGAGTACCATGGATCGACTGACAGACATGTAGACTTGTAACACTGTCCAATCATTGTAGAGGTGGTCTGTCCTGACACAGAGTGGAGAGGCCTTTTCTACAATGTTTACCAGAAACACTGGTTTGTTAACCCTGAGTTGGCAGGTTCCAGGAGCAGAGATCATTTTGTCATACTCTTTAAACTTAACCTGAGTTTGAAGAGACATTCAGCGAATGCAGACTGAGGGACCACGGCCTGACGGGTTGGACTGGTTGATACGGACAAACCTGACAACCCAGAGAACAAGGCTTTAGAAACACTATTTCTTGATACGCTGCAGCCTTTGAAAAAAGGAGACGAATCGAGCTCTTTACTAAAATAAAACAAAAATATCAAGTACATGCTCTCAGATCACAACAGGATTCAAGATTTACTTGAGTAACAAACTGATATGGAGACAGCAAAATAGAAGTAAACCAGCTGAAGAACAAGTAAAACTGCACTGAGCTCCAGTTTTAGGTGTTTATTTGATCTCTCTCTGTGATAAATTCAATAAATTATATAAAGTGGAGGTAGAAGTATTTGTATTACAGTTTTTCTTATTTCCTAAGACATGCTAAATTAAAATGGGATCCATTTGATCTCCATCATCACCTTCTTAGCACAGCAATGGGTCTGAATTTCCATTTTGTCATTGTTATTGGACTATGTAATGGTGTTGAACAAAACGTACACAAGTATTCACAACTGATATAGATCACTTCCATAATTGCAAAACCTCTAATGCACCTGTGTGAAACTCCCGTGCATAGTTCTTTAATCAGCACCCATCTGTGAAAGATGCCACCTCTGTGTTGCCATTTGCAGCATGGAACAACAGGGCCCAGTATTTCAAAACTTTTAATCTGGATCAGACTGGTCTGGATAGGATTAAATCTCAAAATTGGGTATTTCAAACCAGGATATGTGATCCTGATCCTAGTAAAATTGGGATATGGATTTGGTAATCCATTCCTATCCAGAATCCTGATCAAATGCTGTTTTTGGGTATTTCAAAATTCTAAGGTGGAGATTGGGATAGTTTTGAAGCTAAAAATCAGGATTATCCTGATCCCACTGGAAGGGTGGATCAAGCATGGATTCAAGGTGGATGTAGAGATGTAGGACACATGGCACATTGCACAGTGTACTAATGCTGACGGTCAGGCTGGACAGAGGGATACTGACACCATTCTGTAACCTGTAACACCTGTAACATAAATAATTTCCCCTCGGGGATCAATAAAGTATTTCTGATTCTGATTCTGATTTAATTTGTTTTCTTAACTTTACTGGGAAACTGACGTTTGTGAAACCAGAATGTAAGATTACAAAATATAGCCTAGGCTACATTTATTCTCATCATAAGAGCTGCCATACAAAATCAATAGTAAACAAAATACATGTTAATATTACACAAAGCACAATAAATACCAAAGCACGTTATCGTATCCTAGATATTCCTACTGATCACTAGACCCAACCAATTCCCACATGTAACTCAAAGTAATTTTATTTTTTTTTTCTTTTTAACTCTTTTTTATTTTATTCCAGACAGCCAAGACAAAACTCATCAATTGAGCAAACAGAAAATGTATAACTGCTGTCCTTTCCTACATAGTTAACAACATACAAAAAAATCAACCAAAAAACACAACAAAGCCAAAAAGAAAAAGAAAAAAGGGGGAGGGACAGTACCCACATGACACAAGTGCTTCACATAGGATAAAACAAAATAACTTTTGCAATAGTTAGAACAGATGGTTATGACCAACTCAAATCATGCAATTCTGACTTTATATGTATTGTGTACCTTATAGTATTGTGTACTATAAAGGAACTAGATGAATATGAATCATTATGGAAACTGACTTATATTTCCCAACATTCTCACATCTGTGTCAATGAAATGTTGTGTAGTAGTTTGAACAACATAGACATTTCATTAGTCATTTAGCTGACACTTTCATCCAAAGCAACTTTGAATTGCTTTTGTAGTGAATTCACAATTGTCTAAAACAAGTGACAAACAACATAATCTTGTGCTGAAGGCAACATGAAGAATAACAAAATAAAAATAGATGAGGGGTAAAAATACAAGTGGGATGATCATGGTAGTCAGCCTATATCCAAAGACCTCAAATCCAGATTCTGTAATCCTGATCTTGTGGTATCTGGATCAGAGTGATCCTATCTGACAATTCTTTGAAAAACCAGGACCAAATCTACAAGATCAGTTTGATCGGGGATAACAAAAAGGAGGACTACAAAATCTGGATCATTCTGATCCAGATTAAAAGTTTTGAAATACTGGGCCCAGGGCATCTCAAAAAAGTGTTAAATGTGCAGCAGGGTTTGTCATCTTTAGTAAAATCCCCTTTGGAGGAAATAGTACAGTTCAGGCAGTGATGTACTTGCTTGCCTTTTTTGTTGGCACAAACTATAGTGATGTAAAGTGTCAACAAGTGAGACAGACATACAGCACAAATTAAGGTTGAACTGAGCTTTATTTTGTATGTTGTTATCCACTGTATGATGATTGATTGAAAGAATACATTAATTTCAGCACAAGCTGTGTTGATTGATGGAAACATTTGCCTTAGTTGCATGTTTTTCAGGTTTTGTGAGTGAGTGTGTCATTTTGGTTGGCGACTTTCAGTTTAGTCCTGTGTGTGAACTGGTTTGAAAATGTTACCTCTGGGTGGAAACAAGTGTGCAAGCAAATGAGGAAACTGTTACTTACATCAAGCAGCTTTACATAAGCTCACTGAACTGGCCGCAAAAGAAATGTTTTTTGTTTTTATTTCATTTTCGTTTACCCCCCAACACAGCAGAGGTCACCTGAGGCCTCTTTTATGCTGACACATGGTTAGATTGTTTTGAACAGGGGAGATGTGAGTCAGGCTAAACGGTAACTAGGGTGTTTCATTTTCAATGCCAGTGTTCCCCAGGTGAAAAAGGTGTGCTTTGCAAAAATGTGATTTAGAATTCAGAGTTAAAATTTCAAGTTCAGCAGTCTGGAGGTTACATGAGCTACAACTCAGAGCTGTGTGTATAGAATAGAATAGAATAGAATAGATAATACTTGATTGTGTACCTTATGCATGCAGAAGGCAAAAAATTCTCTGGTGGTGGTTATCTGGTGTGTGCATACAATGGAGAAAAACTGGTGCATGTTTTCCAGGTTTTGTGAGTGAGAATGTGTCATTTCTGCTGCCAACTTTCAGTTTAGGCCTTTGTGTGAACTGTTTACCCCAAATTGAAAAATGTGCTCAAGCAATGGCGAAAAGCTTTAACTTACATCAGAGCACAAATACAAAACAGAGCTAATATGTGTGTGTTCTTCTTATACAGACAAATGTTCAGCTGACAGCAAAAGAAATGCTGCTCAGTTTAACATGGTTAGATTGTTTGGACAGGTGAGATGTGAGTAAGACTAATTGGTAATTAGACTGTGTCATTTTGAAGGCCAGCGTTTTCCAGGTGAAAATGGTGTGCTGATTGAATGATAAAGTGCGTAGAGCTCAGCAGTCTGGAGTTTACATGAGCTTCAGCTTCCCAGAATTGTGTGCAGGTGATGTGTGTATATGATGGGAAAAAAGCTGCAAGTTTAGGTAAAGGCTTGTTAGTAAGAAATGTTATCACTTTCACTTTTACATTAAGTATCAAAGTAAAAGTACTCAGCCTTACAGCCTATTATTGGATGAAGCATTGATGTGTTAGCATTTAATATTTAATTTAATTTAATTAATGATTTTGATATTTAGGTAATTTTGAGTCTCTTCCTGCTCTGTACATGTTAATTTGAGTGACAAGTTGCAGGTGAAAGCCAGGGGGTCCCTGACATTTGGGCCCCTTAGCCTGCGCCTGGTTGGGTCATTCAATAATTTATCCATGAGTTTTTCATTCACCTCCACTTGCTATACATAAAGGAACAAATTATAAGAAAAACCTTGTAGGCAACCTGTGGCTCTGGAGCCATATGCCTGTGGCTTCAACAAAAAATATCACATGAAACTGAACTACAATTTTTTTTAACATTTTCATTTCATTTATAATTGTTGTAGGACTAAAGAAAATCATACATTCTCCAGTTGTCAAAATGTGCAGCCTACGCACTGAATGAAAAAAAAAGTTTTAACATTTCGTCAACGTCTACGGCCTGGCGCCTTTTCTTTTAAATTCTGCCAAACCTCAACACTGCTGGCTAGTCTTTAGCCTCCCTAGCTTGGCTAACTATGGATTCCAAATCCATAAAAGTAGAAGTTTCAGAGGAAAATACAGAATTTGATAGCACATTGACAGAACTGTTTGCTTTCATTGCCAACGCTGCAATGTTAAAGTACCAAATAATCATAAATAGCTCACTGCAGAGGAACCATCTTGTGGTAAAACATATTTTTGAATGCTCATTTAGACCTATTTAATATCAATAGGCTAATTTAGACTTAATACACAGTGGTACCATAAGGCTCAAATATGTTTTGCGGCTCCAGGCAGATGTTTTTGAATGGCTCTCTTGGTAATTAAAGCTGCCGACCTCTGTCCTAACACAATATACTGTAGTCACAGAGGTGTAAAGTTCCTGTCTGACAGTGGCAATGAAAACTAGACTACATACTTTACAGATTTGAATTTAACTATGCACAATGCAATGAGATTATGAAAGATACCAGACGTTTAAAGGGGTTGGACCTAGTTCCATGTGGATCAGTATATTTTGTGATTAGTAGTCTGTTATCACTTGTATTATTTTATGTATTGTTCTTTATCTTCCTGTACTTTTGAGTTCTTAATAACTTTGTGAACATTTTAAGTGGAGGCTTTTTTTTGCTTCTCCCTGCACTGTATTTCATTCTTCATTTTTTGTGCCTTTTTGTGTTTTAATTGTGCAAAAATAAACTATAAATAAAATAGTGTTATGTGATAATTTAAGACATTGAAAAGCACCATTCATCACAATAAGTGCTGTAACTTTAAGTAGAGTAGGATTTAAATGTGGGACTACTTTTAAATGAGTAGTCTAACCTTGTTCCAAAGCTAGTACTACTTATGGATTTGAGTATTTTCTGCACAAGTTACATTTGATCCTGTTTATGACATGAAGGCTTCTGTTACATTTGTATTCCTCCTTCTTTTGAAGCATTCATTTGATAGCATTTTAGTATTTTAGCTGGATAGGCTGGGGCTCATTTTCACTTTCACAATGACTGATGAAGTCATTAGTGGCTGCAGGTGTTTTCATTTTTGTAAACTCACTCTGTGGTGCTGCTCCACGGGCTTCACCTTGTCACACAGGCTCTCCCGGTCCACGTGCCAGCTGCATCAGCCAATCAGAAGAAGCGACATGTGAGTTATATGTGCAATGAAAAGTTAGTCAGAGCGAAACTGAAGCGGTCAGGAGGAGAGCCGTGACGGTGTCCGTGACCATTTAACGTGAGGAGTATTTGTGAGGTTTTGGCTCTTGCGTAGGATGTTTCATTAGTGCACCGGCTACTCTTAAATGGCTTAAAACAATCCTTGCTATTTATAACTCTGGAGACTTTTGTCCTTCCTTGGCGGTCGAGCATTGCTGGATTTGGAGTCAACATCAAGAAGCGTCAGACATGCACTTTCTTGGAGTTATTGTCGGCGTCTTTCTGCCTGTTTTATGCAACTTATCGCTGGGGTTTCCTGTGCCAGTAGGTAAGTAGTTTGTGTCTTTGCATTGCATTGCATTGATTTCCTGGATCACACCAAGAAAGAATAATTAGGCAAACACAAACCTGACAATCAGACCGTGGAGGCTCCCAACGCAATCCTTAGTTACGGTCTGCAGCCTATTAAAATTCATCCTTTTAATTTTATACTTTCACTTTCTTATCACAGGACAATAGGTTATTGTGCTGCTCTTACTGTCAGATGCAGCTGCACAATGTCAACACAATTACCCTGCAGCAAATCCTGTTTGTTAAATTTAGTGCTCAGTGTTTGTTGACACTGTTAAGGAGTGTTGGTTCCACTGTATGGTTATTTATGAGGCCATATTTAGTGATTATGTTGTTGCTAAAAGTTTAGTATATCCATGAGTGGATTATGAGACAGTGGGGCCCTGGGGACAGATATGCAAAAAACCCCACCACCCCTTTTTACACAGGACAGATTACAGCAACTTTCACAATTAGAAGAGCCATTTTTTGGCCAAAAAAAGAAAAGGAGGGAAATCTGTATGAAGCCGCAAAGCATGTTTGGGCCTTTTTATAATGAAGGTATCTATGGGTGTTTTCACACACAGTCCCTTAAAAGTAACGGACTCAGTCCTCTTAAAGTGCACCAAAAAGTGGAAAACACCCTAAGTGTGCTTTCACACTTGCCTTGTTTGGTTTGGTTCAATCGAACTCAAGTATGTTTGCCCCCTGAGTGCGGTTCATTTGGGCAGGTGTGAACACAGCAGTCACACTCAGGTGTTCACTAAAACAACCGGACTGAGACCACCTCTTGAAGAAGGTCTCTGTCTTGTTACAAACAAACTCTGGTGCGGTTCGTTCGTGGTGAGATTGATTCCGTACCAAACCAACAGCAGTCACATGACACATTGTTTGGATTAAACATGAGCATGTTACAGTCCTGGAGGATTATTAATGTGCACCTCCTCCTGTACTGCCTTAATATGCACATTCAGCACATCCAATGCATCAAAACATTGTTTTCTAGTTGGAGCCGCGCCTCGTTCACTAAAATGAACAATGACAGCAATATAGTCCACGATGAGCAGAGCTAAAATCAACCTGTGTAGTTGTCCCTCCATTGTGACATTAGAAAGTGTCACATTTATCTTGCAAGTGTATTCTTCTTCAACGTTTGGTTTAACTCTAGGTCTAAAAGCAGCCTAAATTAGCTTATCAGCATTACTAATGGCTTCAAACGAGCATTCATTAATATATTTTACTATAAAAAAATAATTTTGAATGCTAATTTAGACCTATTTAATGTCAGTAGACTAATACGCAGTGTTACCATGAGGCTTAAATATGTTTTGTGACTTCGGGAATATGTGTTTGAATGAGGTTGTTTTTTTTTTAACTATAAAGTGTCAAAAGTGACTCTTTATAGTTTTGGTTTCCGACCCCTGTCCAAACACAATATGGCCCAGAGTTATAAAGTTCCTGTCTGACAGTGCCAACCAAAACTAGACTTGTTACTTTACAGATTAAACCCTATCTATGCACAGTGCAAAGGAATGGTGAAAGATACCACACATTTAAAGGGGTTGGACCTAGTTCAATGTGGACCAATTATTACAACAATAAAATAATGTTATGTGATAATTTAATACATTGAAAAGCACCATGCATCAGCTCAAGTGTAATTTTATGCTGTTTTGCAGCTCCTACTCCAGCTCATGACATGAAGGCTACAGTAACATTTAAATTCCCTCTTCTTTTGATGAATTGCCTCCCATCAGATGCGATCATAGTGCAGATGCAGCAGTGGGGAGTGGTGGGTGCTCACCAGATCGTGGAGCAAGTCCTTCACAATGGAGTCTCTCTTACTGGAAGAAGCCAGGAAGTTGAGAGCATTATCCAAACCATGTCAGCTGATTCCCTCCTGCCGACTCTTATCAGGGTCAACCAGACTTCCTTACTGAGTAAGAAATCATCACGTACTAGTAATGAATGTAATGACTGTGAGATTTTACATCATCAAAACCTCAACATGGATCTAATCTCATGCTCAGTCAAATATTAAACAGCCTTTATCTGCCTCTAGGAAACCACACTGTCCTTCGTTCTCGTGAATGCACACTCGAGGGGTCTCAGCTGCACTGGGCCGACCGTGTGTTCTATGACGGGAACGTCTATCTGACTCTGGACCACACTGATACATGGACGGCCCATGTGCCACAAGCCCTGGCTTTCAAAGTGTTGTGGGACCAAGAAGCACAGCGCACAAAGGCAGAAATGACACGCCTTCAGGAGGGATGCATCAAGCTGATGAGCGAACTGAAGCTTTCTCAGGAGCAGTCAGGTATGCATTCGTTCTGGCTTTTGAAAATCTTGTAACCATCAATAAGCCACAGTGTGTAGGAATTTCTCCCATCTAACGTTGAAATCATATATTGCATTCAAACAGATGGCACACTCTAGCGCCTCACTGTTTCAAACACGTATTGCAACAACTGTAGCCGCTGTGTACCAAAAAGCTATGATAACACTGATGAAACCATGTCATCCGATACTACATGGAGTATTCATTCAGGCTCCTACACAGACACACACGACACGAGTTGACAAACCCCCTCCTCACCATGCTGGCTGTGTTTACAACGTAGGACTGTTGGGGTGGATGTAAATTGAAACAAACCAATCACGTCTTGTCCTTTGACAACTGACAAGTGGCTCAACCTCACACACCTCATCCCTCTCCTCCCATTACTGCGCCGCTAACAGCTGTTAGTGGCCAGCGGAACTACTGCCACATAACAAAGTCCCACTCTTGGAGCATAATGCAGGATCATGTATTATGCAACATCACGGAAGACGGAATCCTCGTCGCCAAGAAAGTGCAAAAGGGAATCAAAAAGGCAGCGTGACCGGCGAATTTAAAAAAAACAAGGGTCAGCATTGGGGTAGACTTTCCCAGGTGGAGAGAGCTGCTGAAGGAGAAAGGTAATACAATCACAGGCCAGCGCTAACAGCGGCTAACAGCGGCTAACAGCTAACAGCGGCGCAGAGATGCGAGGAGAGGGATGAGGCTGTTAGCGACTGGCCGCAAACAGCGGCTAACAGCCAACAGCGGCGCTGGCCTGTGATTGCATTACCATTCTCCCTCAGCAGCTCTCTCTACCTGGGAAAGGCTACCCCGATGTGGGCATTCGTTTTTTTAATTTGCTGGTCACGCTGCCTTTTCTATTCCCTTTTGCGCTTTCTTGGCGACAAGGATTCCGTCTCCCATGATGCTGCATATGCATGATCCTGCATTATGCTCAAAGAGTGGGACTTTGTTTCAGATTTGCCAGGGTAGTAGAGAAGCGCCTCTTGCTCCTCTCCTTTTGGCTCCTCAGTCACGCAGTGCTGGCCTGGCTCTCAACGAAAACGCCGAAGGCAGTGCTGTATGTCCCTTGCTGGCGGGTGTATTCTCAAGATGGCGAAACATAATGGAACCCCACAGACGACTTACCCGCACAATGTACAAACAAATCTGAAATTCTCCTTTTACGAGAATAAGTCAGATTGGTGGAGGTAATAGGACACCAGTGATGACATATTTATGAATGCAGACATCAATTTTTGCCAATAAACAACTGAAAATGTTACACAATGTCCCTTTTAAAGGATAATTATGGTATTTTTCAACCTGGATCCTTTAACCCATATTTTTGTGTCTACGTGACTAATGGGAGCAATAATGTTTGAACTGTCCAGTATTGAGCAAGCCGGCATTGGTGAAACAGGCTGTAGTGTCACCACTCTGCAAGTTTCACCATCAATTGACGTCCATTAAAAGTGCTTGTTTTTGCCGCTGACTCAGGTTGCTATGCTGAGTGTCAGGCAACAGAGATAGTCCTCTTTTGCTGAGACAATCTGTCTGCCTTTTTGTTGTTGTTGTTATTAGAAACAGCCCAGAAATCGCTATCACCAAACCCCCTTTATTCAAAGTCAACAGAAACAAATAAAACTCAAAAGCTGCCTTGCTCTGTCTCTCCATTGTTCCAACAATCACCAACTCTGGTTTGGCTGAAATGACCCTTAATGTAAAATATGCTGCTCTACACAAGCTAAAGTTACAGTTTATGTAAATGGAGTCTGGTGGGTTTGGTGATAGCGATGTCGGGGCGGTTTCTGTAACCACTCCCTAGACCTCCTTTTGTTAAACAGTCAGAGCAGTCTTGTTTAACCAGAAACAGCCCAGGAATCGCTATCACCGAATCCTGCAGACAAACAGTAATTTTATCAGTAATTTTATTTTATGCTGACTCTACATAACCTAAAATTACTTTACTTTAATGGTGGTGGGGTTGGCATTTGCAATGTCAGGGCTGTTTCTGGTTAAACAAAAGTTATGAAAGGTCTATCTCTGTAGGGATCCTTCACATAAGTTGTCAGACACTTAAATTAACAATCTGAGCCTGTCAGTGGCAAAAACAAGCACTCAGAGTTGAGAGAAATTGATGGTGCCGAATGCCCCAAGTGGTGACATTACTGCCGGTGCCAGCTCCCTCAATACTGGCCCAATTGTAAAAATGATTGTCCCCATTAGTCATGTAGGCTTAAGGACAATGGCGTCCACGTTGAAAAATACAGAATTTCCCCCCCAAGAGTTGTGGAACCTAACAAGTGCATCTTGTATTATCTTTTTAAAATAACCACACTGCAGTTTTGCGCTGTACACACCAATGTTTACAGTCGAATAAACAAATCAACCTTTTTTAGCATAACCATAACTACAATGGTATATCAGAGCAAACATCGTGCTACAAAAATAAATATCAGTGACAATAATATCTGATAATTCCCTCCGTAATGGTATTTTGATTTTAGCCCTTACATGAATGAACAGGTGCAGCTTTATTGTCAGACAGGACCTGTTCTATACTATTTATTCATTCACTGTTATCACTACAGTGTTACGGAGATCAGATTGAATTAATCACAATATTATGTACACCTTCTCTGGGTCTGTAGCTATACCTGTCTGGTAGTTCTGACTATTTCTAGAGTTTAAAAAGCCTGGAGGCAGCTGATGCCACTTGACTGCTAGTCATATGACACAATGGACACTAACAAAATGAAAGGGTAATAGAACAGTAAAGCATCAGTTTGTTCCTGTGACTGCAAAAGTCCACCCTCACTTACACTACATATTTTACTGTGGCTAGTTTCTTTGACATGCAGCCGAGTTACAATTGTCTTTGTTTTTCTAGATCAAGGGAATCCTTTGCCTCAGTTTCTGATCCCAGTCTTGGCACTTCTGGCATTAACAGGACTCATCATAATCAGCCTGCTCCTCTCCAAAAACCAGGGTGAGTAAATATGAGCATTACTTTCTATTTGGATAATAATAAAACAAATTGCACATTACCTTTAATCACAGTCACATACTCAAAAGCTGCCTTCAGGATGCAGCAAAATTATGGGCTGCATATCATTAACAAACAGAGGGAACTATTTAATCGTCACATCTGCTTTAGTTCAATATCTCATTCACCCTCAAACGGCTGCATAACTCAGCTTCATTTTAAAATGTCTCCTGTCACATGGTATGGAGTCTCATGCTCACATGGAAATATAAAGCATAGTCATGTGTTTTGTCTTTCTCACACTCTCTGCCTAGGTTTGAGGCACCCCGGAGGTAAGAAAACAACAATCCCTGTTTTCTTTTTAGTGGCTGTAGACTTCTCAATGAACAGTCTTAGGAGAAGATTGATGGAGGGTTAAATATTAAATGAATTCAAAAGCCCATACACTTTGATTAAGGACAGTCAGAAAATTAACAGAACATGCCCATCCACTCTGTGACACTGTATGTGCCTGTATGACCTCATTCTTCTTATGACTATGAATGCAGTTGTCAGGTCAGCTTGTGACACAGGGATGAAAGTTTCTGAAATAAAACTCTGAAACTTTTTGTTATTGACGAGGCGGGAGGTGGTGATGCCAAACAGGGGAGGCATGTCAAATAATATTTAAAGCACTGGAGAGGGACTTTTTTTGGCTTCGGAGAGGGCATGTAGCTTTAAATTGCTGTATTTTTAAATACCCTTTGAACCCCAAAACACACTGGCAGGTTTGAAAGGCATGTTTTCTTTAAAACTCACCACAGTGGGGCAACGTATACCTCATCTGGTAGAGCGTGTGCCCTATATAGGCTGAGCCCTTTGCTCCTCTCTCTCTCCCATCTTTCATGTCAATGTGCAGCTTTCCTATCAATATAAAGCCCCAAAAAATCCTTAAAAATGCCAAAATTACAACATTTATCATATCCAGAAACTATAAAAACAGAAATTATCAGATTTTCAGATTTCCAATGGTCATTGAACACATCATGCACTGAAATAAACTGCGCTAACCAGATCCTGTACAAAGAAACCATTAAATTCCGCACTTCTGTATGACAAATAGTGAAAAACCAAGGCTTTTTTTTCACTGGTGCATTTTGCTTAAGAAATTAGCTGTTTTGTTGACAACTCTCATTCCCATGCTGTTTGCTCATTGCATTGGCTCCAACACCTACATTTGGTGTGACTATGAAAGAAAATATGGTTATAAAATGGTTATAAAAATATTTGTAGCTTAGGGGTGGGTCAAGATTAAAAAAAACAAGACCCTAGCTATATCCCCCTGCTCTGATAAATTCAGTACAGTTCTTCCATAAATTTATTAGGGCTGATATCTAATAATCTTTTTTTTTTTTTTTTTTTTAGCCTTTAATGGATAGGACAGACAAGTGTGAAAGGGGGAGAGAGAGAGGGAGTGACATGCAGCAAAGGGCCACAGGCTGGAGTTGAACCTGGGCCGCTGTGGCAACAGCCTTGTACATGGGGCGCCTGCTCTACCACTAAGCCACCGACGCCCTGATATCTGATAATCTTTAACAGTGAGTGAGAGTGCACAGCAAGACGTGTTAGCTTTTTTCCTGCCATGAATGTCCATCTAATCTCTGCTCTTTGATTTCCTTGCAGGTGTTGTTGGCTCAATTATACATTACCCCAAAGACATGACTGAAACGGCTCCAGAAATAAGGAGCGACGGTTACCAAACCTTGTAATTCAAAGCTGCTGATTAACAGGGTCACGTTTGAGCTCTCTTCTCCATTACTGCTGCTAAATGTCCAAATAGAGATTTAACACTTTTTCCTCCTGTGTATGGAAAGTGTTTCTGCAGGAATATAACCAAAAACCTTTGCTATGTTACCAACAGCCCACTGTATTAAACGCATGTGATCTGGATTCCAGGCCGCATTACTTTATGCACTTTAATGTATGTATCATACTTTACACTGGTGCTTTTATTGCATATACTTTTTTTATATTTGTGCATGTATGTATACACACAAAGTAGTGTAAATACATTTTCTGCAGCAATGTACAAGCTTTTTAGACACTAATAACTGTGGGCAAATGTTTTCACCAGCCATAATCTCTGGACTAAGCTATACAAGTAAATAACTGTGTAAATATAATGAAAATGTTTTGTTTTAAGCACAAAGAATGTCACACATTGTCTTGTAGTCTGTAGATAAAGCCCTGCTGAAATCAAGTGTTTGTTTGGTCACTGAGAGTCATGTCCCAGTGAAACTCTGCCAAATGCTGACTGACTGATGTCTGTAAGTGTGTCCAGTAATCAATAATGTGTTGTTTGGTTTAAGATACTGTCCTGATGGTTTTAATATTTCTTTGTCATACTGTTCATTGTTTTTTTTTTTTCCTAACATTTCTCCATGTAAAATTTTAAATAATTCAATTAAAGATACATTTATGGTATAGAAGTCATGTTTTTCCTCATTTTTAAGTATGGTTTTGGCCTCAGCCTCTCACATCTAAAAATGAAATACGTGATACAGTTTCACTGGTGAAACTTTTTTTTTTTTTTAAATGTTTTATTTTTTAGTGTTGAATTCTGTCTGCTTTATGAGACCGTGTAAGGGTCCGTTAAGCCATGCTCAAGTTCCTGGTGCACTAAAACCTGCATTATGGCGCCATCACTTGTCAAAATATATTTATACCCTTAGTATACACTGTTACTACAGTTCAAAATATACATAGACTGTTGTATATGTGTAAATTATATTACATGATGTGATAACACCATAAACATTTTACCACATTTGGGTATGGCTTAACTGGCTCATGGAGAAAGTATTATCTCTGTAAATAAGAACATATCCTTGGTATCATGGTGGTACTCTCCAAAGCTACCATCCCTACAAGATAATGTTACTAGGTTTTCATGCTCTATTGTTAAGCAGCTGCACAAGTGATGAAGCATTGAGGGGCTTTTCCTTCTGAACATATGCTCAATTATCTTCTATTTTAAATAAGAAATGTGGAGACGGAGCAGTTCCTGACTCATGTCCAAAATGGGATCAGCTTCTAAAGAAGGCAACCATGGCAAGAGGTGTGGTCTCTAACTCAATGTCCATAGCTGCCCCTAATGCATATTTTTCTGTCCAGCTGGCTTGGGAGCATGACCTTAATACATCTTAGACTGTCTCCCAGTGGAACATCATTTAGATGTCAGCTTTGAGAGTGTCTAAATGTGTGAGATTTAGGACTCAACAAGAGAAGATTATGTGCAGAGCATGTACACCGATAAGCCAAAACATTAAAACCACTGACAGGTGAATTTGTTCCAATGCATTGTTCTGCTGGGAAACCTTTGGTTCAGGCATACATGTGGATACCACCTGACATGTTCCACCCACTCAAACACTGTTGCAGAACCAGTACCCTCCTAATGGCAACTGTACTCCCCAATGGCAGTGGCCCCCAGCAGAAATTAGCAGCATGCCACACTACAAAAACTGTTTAGAAATGGCCTGTGGAGCGTGACAAAAAGCTCAAGGTGTCAACCTGGATTCTAAATTTCCCAGGTCCCAATCTGCTCAAGGATTCTTGTGATGTGCGGGTACCCCAGATGTACCCCTAATCCAAGGTGGGGCCTCCTTGGATCTGACTTGGCTCTGACCTGTCGAGTCATGGACACAGGATTTCTGGGAGTGTCTTGTTGTGTCTGGCACCAGTGCGTTGGTGGCAGATCCATTTAGTCCAGTGGGTTGTGAGGTGGGTTAATGGCACATGCCACAGATGCTCATTCAGATTGGGATCTGGGGAATTTGGAGGCCAGGTTGACACTTTGAGGTCTTTGTCACATTCCTTGGGCCATTCCTGAGCCATGTTTGCAGTGTGGCATGGTGCATTATCCTGTTGGGGGGCCACTGCCATTGGGGAGTGCTGTTGCCATGAGGGGGGTACTTGGTCTGCAACAGTGTTTGAGTGGGTGGAACATGTCAGGTGGTATCCACATGAATGCCAGAACCAAAGGTTTCCCAGCAGAACAAGGCATTGGAACAAAATAATCAGAGTTATTCACTTCACCTGTCAGTGGTTTGAATGTTTTGGCTGGTAGGTGTATTACTCCTGTTAGATTATCCAGGATGGAAGACAAACATTATGGCTTATGTCCAGCTGTTAAAACACTCTGGTTAGAAGTGATATCTCGTGTGTCAATATGTCAATTTCCCAGTGTGCCCCAAAGTGTTTACTGGCTTTAAATCCAAGATAAAATCATGGCTAAAATCAACCCAATCATGCACCCATCAATCATAAATTGTCAAACACAGGCTCATAATTCACTGGTTCGTAATCTTGTTGTTATTGTCGTGTCTTAACATTGTGATTTTATTGTTGTCGTTGTGTCTTAATAGTGTGAAATTTTTGTTATTGTTGTTGTCTGAAGATGTTGCTCTGTGACGACGTTTTTATATTTGTTTGTATTCATGTGTGCTTGTTTGTTTTATACTATAGTGTTAGATTTCTGTCTTAACACTATATGTTTTCTGTTCCTGCTCAGGGACTACAGATGAAAATTAGCTAGTAGCTAACTCTGGTATGGCTGAGAGCTGTACAATGTGCCTGTTAAATAAACGAAGAAATAAATAAATAAGTATGCTTGCTGGGCCTAAAGTTTGACAATAATGTGTAACTGTCAAGCACCTATGGACACTGGGTTGCTTATTTACTAAGAGTCTTCTAAACTGGAAGGAGCGTAGAGCAGCCTGCTTCACAAAGGACTCCTAGCTGAAAGAATACCTGGACATATTAAGCATAAAACAGGCATTAAAAGACTTCGACAAGGGGCTGGAAGACCACTGGTACTCTGTCTGTACACTTTTAAAACAGTAGCCCCCAGTTTAAAATGCTTATATACAATGGAGGTATGAGATCTAATGTATGTTACATGCTACGTGAATGTCACCCTTGCATCATCCTTTTTAATTTTCTGTTCTTGTGCTAAATAACAATAAAACTGTTCATAACAAGAAACTGGCTCTTACATATGGCTTACAGCAACCAGAAAAGCTCAAGACATTTTCACCTCATCTGTGATCAGACGTTTAAAAATAGGAGACTTTTGAGTTTCCATGATGGTTTAGAAGTTTAAACATTTGACATTCATTTCAATAACTATTTTTCTTAAGTCTTTAGGGAAAAAAAGAAAACAAATAACTAAACTAAACTCTCAGTGGATACAAGCAACAGTTTATTTATTTTCAACAACAGAGCTGTATCAGCTGCCTTTGATTATCCTCCTGCTTTGATAAGGTTCAGTCAGAGACAGAATGTTTCTTTTTATGTCAACATTAGTCTCTCACCAGATTTAACATGTTGACAGAAGTTTAGTAGAAGTCCACTGAGAATGAGTGTTATTGTCTATGTGTTGGATATTCTGAGTGTTTTGGTTAAAATAATACCCAGAACATAACTCTAGTTATATTTTGTGGTGGATAATTGATCAATAATATAATCCTTTTAATCCAATTAATATGCATACACTTAATCATGCAATCATGTGATCTTGTCTGCTAATCAAAGAGCAGAGGGACAAATGGTTGATTTGACTTGATAACATCTCTGATTTTAGCATTACAATGGCAAGAACTTTTAATTTTAATCAACTACATCCAGTTACCGCTAATGTTTGGCATAAAAATCAATGTATTTGTCTGTGGGTGAATATGCATTATAGTAATTTTATTAACAGAATGACTTGAACAGATGATTGATGTTTATCAAGCTGCAAATGGTTAAACCATTTGTTTAATGCTCTCCTGATGACTGCGAGAAGTCTTTGATTTTCTTAATCCAATCAGACAACTCCTAATTTGGCAATTAATCACAAATGTGATGTTCATTATGGCCCTTTTGTATAAATAAAACCAGGGTAACTTAATTATGACTGGATCTCTATGTCTCATACAATGGTACAGTGCTACAAGCTACAGTGTGCACTCCAACCATGTTGTACTGCAGATATGCATTTAAAGATGTATACCAGTGTAAAATGAGTCTTTTACTAGATATCTCCTGACAGAGTATTAACACATTTTTTTGGCCTATTGTCTACTCAAACCTTTTTTAATGCTTCTATAAATTCAAATTACTTTAAAGGGTGTTATGGTGAAATAAATCAAGGTAATTTAAAGTTTTTGACATGTCATGCTGGAATATCTGTGACACATTTATATTACGACACCTTATGTGATTCAGACTTGATATATTTTAATCATTTATTTATTTTTTGTGATTACATGTTCAGTAAATAATTTTTTCAACCTTCATATAATCAAATAAAAATCATTTGACAGCGGACACAAATTTTAGACTTCTATAATTTTATTTTATTTCATTTTATTTTATTTATAAGTCATAACCCTATCATCTTTTAACCACTAGATGACGATATAAATTTTTACCGGCGGAAGGTTTTCAGGCGTTGGTTTGTCCGGAAGTTCCCTTGACCAATCACATTACCGCATTAGTAAACGCTACCATAGGAACGCCTGGCGATAACGGCAGCTCCTTGAACGAGCCAATCGCAGGAGCGCATTCTGGGATTTAAACCGTGTGGCGTCATCGTCACGAAATTCAAACTTTGCAGAGAGACTACAGTGACCACAGTGTTGCTGCAGCTGATGCCACGTTTTTAAAGAGGTGAGATAATTGTGTTAGATTTAGAGGCATCACTATTTTACGGTCATTGAACTTTTAAAGTGGTTAAATACTATTAAAGTTAATGCTAACGTGTACTCGTTTTCTTTAAGCTAATGCTAACTTGTGTTCGTTTCCTTTTAAGTTGGCTAACGTTAAGTGAGCTAGGTTTAACTGCATTCGTTTCATTCAGAGGTGATGTAAAATAGGTTTAGCGGATGAGAAACGACTCATTGTTTTCATTTTCCTTCAAATAAAATGAAGTTTTCCGGTTCATACCAGCCGTAACCATAACTCGGAGACCCCAGTGTTAGCATGCGTCCCACACCAACTCATATAGACTTTAATGAGTCAGTTACTTTTGCACATCTTTTGAACACGTTTTTGCCCTGATTTATAGAGGTCGTGTGAAACCTGAGTAAAATGGCGCAGTTTGGGTTTGAGAACGACATCCACAGCATCTTGAAGCTGGACATGCCCATCACAAACGCTCCCATGGCGAGGTGGCAGAGAAAGGCCAGCTCATCCAACACATCCGCCGGGTTGTCTCCTGGTAAACCTGCCAATGTGTCGCTCAGCTCATCCAGAACACCGAGCAAAACACCAGGTAGTGTGTGCCCCAAATGTTGCACTCACGCATTTTAACACATCAAACTTTGTAGTTAAGTTATATCTCTGCAGATGTTAACCACTGGGGTATTTTTCTGTATCACAGGCAAAAATAAAAAGCAGACTCCCTCTAAGATGGGGGCCGACCGCTTCATTCCAGTCAGAAACA